AATATTTTTGTCATTTTTGGTAAAAAGTGATATTTTCGAATTTTTGTTGAAAACAGCAAGTCCCATTGCTTGATAGTATGCATATTGTTCATTTTCTAATGATATCTTCTGTTCTTTAATTGAAATGTGCATTAATAACAGCGGAGCTATCTCAGCCGAGAGGCTGCTTGTTTCATTTACTCATAATTTATAAGGTATAATTACATCATTTACATTTATTTACAATCTATGTTACATATTTGTTTTATTCATAATTTAGTCATGACTCTAACATTTACTGTAAGCTATACTAGTATCAGTAGATAACCACGAGATAAAACAATCGTGACACTTTACACAAAGGAATCTTGTATAGACCACACTTTACACAAAGGAATCTTGTATACACCATACTTTACACAAAGGAATCTTGTATATACCACACTTTACACAAAGAGAACTTGTATACACCACACTTTACACAAAGGGATCTTGTCTACACTACACTTTACACAAAGAGAACTTGTGTACACCACACTTTACACAAAGGAATCTTGTATACACCACACTTTACACAAAAGAATCTTGTATACACCACACTTTACACCAAGGAATCTTGTATACACCACACTTTACACAAAGGGGTCTTGTCTACACAATATTTTACACAAATGGATCTTGTATACACCACACTTTGCAGAAGGGAGTCTTATAGACACACTTTACACAAAGGGATAATTAGTCCCCGTTCAGGCGAAGCCTGAAAGGGGAGTACTAGTTTTATTTCCTTTCTCATTTTCAAGTTGCTGCAAGTTATCTCTCACATTTTCTCAGAGACTCTGTAGCAGACGTCAATGAAACTTGGCAGGTTGATGAACAAGTCTGTGTTGCATATGCACAGCACGTAATTTTTTTTCCAGATCTAAAAATCCTAAGTGGGTCTTTTTCAAGATTTTCATTCAAAATTACTACACTGACAGAGCAACCGAGCATGCTCAGAATAATTATTCTGTTAAATTCAGATTCATGAATTCCTGATTCACAAATTAGATCAATGCAGTTATTTGCTGCTATCTCTACCACCACTGTGTCGATTTTATTCATATTTGGTATGATTACACCTTGGCACGAGTAGATGTGTTTTTGGCAATAATGACCACACCCTCCGAAAAATATGCAAATTAGATCAATGCAGTTATTTGCTCTTATCCCAGGAACCATTGGGCCAATTTTGTTCATACTTGGTAGGATTACGCCTTGACACGAGTAGATGTGCTTCTGACAGTAATGACCAGACCCTCCCAAAAAATATGCAAATTAGATCAATAGTTATTTGCTCTTATCCCAGCAACCATTGGGCCAATTTTGTTCATACTTTGTAGGATCACACCTTGACACGAGTAGATGTGCTTCTGACAGTAATGACCACGCCCTCCCCAAAATATGCAAATTAGATCAATGCAGTTATTTGCTGCTATCTCTACCACCATCGTGTCAATTTTATTCATATTTGGTATGATTACACCTTGGCACGAGTACATGTGCTTCTGACAGTAATTAAAACAATGCAGTTATTTGAT